TGACCGTTTTTGAAGCCCGAAAACACTGTAAATACCGATGTTTTCCTCCTGCGCATAAAGTAGTTGAAAGTAGTTTGCGCGACTTTTTACACATCCATTTTTCGTGTCCGTAAACGGACAAAGCCAGGAAACACTGTAAATACCGAGGTTTTGGTCTCTTAACACGAAAATTGCATGCCACAAAACCCCTGCGATCAATTAAGAACGCGACGCCTAGTAGTAGTAGTAGTAGTAGTAGTAGTAGTAGTAGTAGTAGTAGTAGTAGTAGTAGTAGTAGTAGTAGTAGTAGTAGTAGTAGTAGTAGTGGTAGTGATAGTGGTAGTGGTAGTGTTCGTGGTAGTGGTAGTGGTGGTGTCCAAAATCGCATGTTGAGCACTGCGGCTACATACTTCAGAACCCGTTAAGGGAGGCTAGGGACCATATGAAGGGCCCATATAACTACCCTAAACCTCAAACCCTAAACCCTAAACCCTAAACCCTAAACCCCAAACCCTAAACCCTAAACCCTGAACCCTGAACCCTAAACCCTGAACCCTAGGCTGCTAGGTGTAAGTGGTTCCACCTTGAGATGAGGCCCCGGCTACCAGCTCCGTCCTTTCCGGCAAAGACCCACCTCTGAGGCGAGGGAGGGGGTTCAGGGTTTAGGGTTTAGGGTTTGGGGTTTGGGGTTTGGGGTTTGGGGTTCGGGGTTTGGGTTTGGGCCGCAGGTGTCGCATGCAAACTAAAGCGTTCAGTAGCGTTCAGCAACCTAGGAATCACAGGGGCACAGTTAAAAGGTACAAGGAGGGGCCCTAGAAGGGACCCTTAATCTTCTTCCCCTTGCTAACGCCTAAATGTACCTTATCTAGTCCCTAAATACGTAAAGAGCCCCACTATCACCCCTAAATTGTGTTTCTTCCAACATCCCCACCCTCTGGGTAGAGATACTCTAGGGTTGGGCACTCTAGGGACACTCTGGGGTTGGGCACTCTGGGGTTGGGCACTCCAGGGACACTCTGCGGTCGAGCACTCCATGGATGAGCGAGGAGTAGACCGAGCGAGGAGAAGAGTTCCGCGAGAGGAGAAGAGTTGAGCTTAAAATCTAACAGCCCCACACCGAGGCTGGGGAATGACCCCTAAGCCCTTGAAACCCTAAACCCTAAACCCTAAACCCTAAACCCTCAACCCTCAACCCTCAACTCTCAACTTTACATGGTCCCTTCTAAGGGTCCCTCCTTTACAAGAGGAATCAGGGTACGCTTGCGGGGTCGGGTCTGGAGGAGGCATCCCTCTTGCCTAAACCGTCAACTGGAACCCTAAACCCTAAACCCTAAACCCTAATTAAACCCTAAACCCCAAACCCTAAACTCTAAACCCTAAACCGTAGCCCTACACCCTAACTACACCCTAAGCCCTGAACCCCGAATTTTGAGGGTTCGGGCGCATGTGGCCTAAGCGCCCGAAACTCGCAGACAAGGTGCATGACGTCCCCCGAAGTGATCACCGCCGAATGGTCATTCCGCACATTCGTGCTTCCACCCGGGTACACCTCTCAGACACACTAGGCCCTCAAAACGGCCCAAACCCAGAACCTTAGAGTTTAGTGTGTAGGGTTTAGAACCCGAAACCCGAAACCGGAAACCCTAAACCCTAAACCCTAAACCCCAGATGTCAGGAGCTGGTAACCTTTGGTGATTGTCGAGTTCAGGTCTTGGGGTCCGAGCCCCCCCCCCCCCCCCCAAGCCCCGCTCTTTTTCTGGGCTGGCCGTTTTGATACGAGGAGACAGTTCGGGTGTTGAGGCCTTAGGGTTCAGGGTTTAGGCTGAACACGCCACCAAAACACAAATAGTCGTAACCCCCCCCCCCCCCCCCCAATTTTTTAAACCTAGACCCTGAAAGTAAAAGAATGATAACCATCATGACTATGCAGCAGGGGGAAAAAAACCCACCTCGCCTGGAGTGAGCTCGGTTCGCTAAACCCTAAACCCTAAAACCCTAAACCCTAAACCCTAAACCCTCAAATTGTCTTGCTAAGTTCGTTTGCACTCGGCGGCAGGGAGACAGGGTTGGCCGTCAGCTTCAAGGACTTAAACTTCAGAGCTCAGGGCCTAGCCCTAAACCCTAAACCCTGAACCCTGAACCCTTAAACCCTAAACCCTAAACCCTAAACCCTACACCCTAAACCCTAAATCTCAGCTCCGCAGCTTGGCCCCAGAGCCATCGGATGGACAGAAAGGCGCGCCTGTGTCCAGGTCGGAGACGCTGCCTGGCAAAGGCGAGTTTGGTGGGCTTAGGGTTTGGGGTTTAGATTAGGACTTGGGGTTAGGGTTTAGGGTTTAGGCGAAATAAGAACCTTGACTTTGCAAACAGACAAGACCCCATAGCATCTCCTTCCCTCTTGACGGCTTGGCTCCTTAGACAGATAAACCCTAAACCCTAAAGGAAGGCATCCCGTTATGATTCGCAGGGCATGAGAGTTCGCAGGGCGCGGGGTTTTACCAACGGCGAAGGAGGACCAGGCTTTCGAGGATTTCGTCCTTGCGGTGCAGAAGAAACTCGATAGGGTTAGGGTTTAGGGTGTAGGGTTGAGGGTTTTAGGGTTTAGGGATTTCTGGGGTTAGGGTTTTTACGAGTTTAAGAAGTGTTAGGGGTTTTAGGGGTGTTAGGGGTTTTAGGGCTTAGGGGTTCTTTCGGGGAAAGTGTCATTTCTCGTCCAGCGAAGCCAGAAGTGCCCGCGGAAGCAGGGATGACAGGCTTCTCGCGCGGGAAGTGGGTAGGCGTTTTCGCAGCAACAATGTCCATGCATGGTGTGCTTATACGTTCCCTTTTATATGGATATATATATATATATGTATATAAACATGTATATGTACGTATATATATATATATATATACACTGTATAAATTAACATATAAATAAATAAGTAAATAAATAAATGAACACATATTATCTATATATATATTTATCTGTTTGTTTTATTTAGTTGTTTATGTGTTTTTTTATTATTGATTTTTTTGTATATTTATGCATATATAACGAACGTCTGACAAGAACAGCACAAGAGCACATTTGCCTTAAAGTGTATAGGGTCTAGGGTGTAGGGTTTCGGGCTACTTGGGAGCCCTTTTGTACTAAGTGAAAAGGGGCTCCGAAGTAAGGTTCGGTACATGGGCCCTTAACAAATGCGGCACGTGGCAACCGAATGAAGGTCACTCTGCCCTTCTTTTGAGCACCCCAAAACCTTAGCTCAGAAGCTCCGGACTTAGGGTTTGGGGGGGTTGATATGGTCCCTTACCACCCTTAAGGGGCTCTGATGTATGGGCCCTGAATTTGTGCAGAGTATCAAAGGGGTATAGCTGCCCTTAGGTGCTGAAGAACTACCAATATTAGGAGGGTTCAGGGTTTAGGGATGATTTATTTCTTTTTTTTACCCTGACATGGAAGTCGTGATTTTTGTTTTTTTTTTTTGGGGGGGGGATGGCAAGCAACTAGTAGGTAACCATTCTGCCTCTGAGCCCTTAGACCTAACACCACTCAACCCTAAACCCTAAACCCTAAAACGTAGACCCAACATCCTAAACCCTAAACCCTAAACCCCCGGTGCCTGCACGTCGATTTTGTGTAGGGTGTTCACGCGGCCTCGGGCTCCCAGATTGTAGGCTCTGAGCGCTTTGTGGGGCTTAGCTTGGGGTTTCCTGGTTTA